AGAGCGGAGAGCGGGGAACCAGGGAACTGTACCCCCATAAACCCAGTGCATTGTTACTGAGCTGCGGATAAACACAAAAGGCATTTCTGCCCGGGGCGTCACCTCGTGTGCTCGCGCGAACCCAGCTACTCCTAGAAGTTGGGCGTAAACATGAAGTCACTACAACTGGATCCCTCAGCATCCATTAAACTTCTTGCAACACAGTTTCAATATTTTTTCACTTTGCTAATGAAAAAAAAAGTTTTCTGTGGTCTAGAAATGATCAGCATCCTAGAAATTCTGGGCTTGGATCTTTCTGCACCTGTGTCTTAGCACCGACAGAAGTTTCTGCTGAAAAGTTTCTGTTATTGGGGCTCTTACACATTCTCCCAGTTCTCCTCGGCCGTTCATCACAGGTTGGGGTGTGTGTGGGGGAAACTGGTTTTGATTATTTGGTGTTTTTCTTCAAGGGTGGTTCCAAGCATTGTGATCTCACCCCTCCTTGTTGGGAGACTTTTCTCTAAAACTCTGATGCAATTGAAAATGTGGGTGCAGATAACACACAGTACATTTGGCTCTACTTTGAGGGTTAGGGAAACCACTTATTTGGACCTCGTTGTCTCCTGTATAGCCCTAGGGCATCCTGGCTTCCTGGTTCTCCCACCCTTTCCTGATTCTAGGTCCTTACCCTTCTAACTGGGCATCTCTGGGTCGGGCATCCTGGACACCGCAAGGACCCTCTGGGAGCCAGAGGAATATGGAAGCAGGATGCCCGCCGGGCTTGTGGGAACCCCCTAGAAGGCTGGGTTCTCTGGGAGAGAGTGCTGCCACTGCTGGACTCAGGAGTCTTGCTTTGTTTCAGGGTCAACGTCTGTGGAGGGCAGTGCTGCCAAGGCTGGAGTAAGGCCCCTGGCTCCCAGAGGTGCACCAAACGTAAGTCTCCATGCGCACAGCGGCCCTGCACAGTAGGCAGAGTGGGGCTGTTCACACTGGGCGATCCCACCAGGGTCACGTGAAAGGGGCTGATGCTGTCCTGGATACGTTGGTGTCTGGAGTACAATCCACCCCATTATCTGCAGCCTTCATTACCCTCCGGGGAGGGCTGGGCCATGGTAACGTTGGTATCAGTGCCAGCAGCAGACTGTTGTCCGGAGCCACGCAGCCAAGACTCCTCTGCACTCAACTCAGGTATTAATCACTCGGTAACACCTGTGAATCAGGAGTTAGGCAAAAAAATTCCTGTTGGAGGATGTGCCATGTGACAGGAGCAATGTAATTAATTAATTGAGACATAAGATGATGGCAGGAGGGTAATAGGAAGTAGAGGGCCCTATTTTAGGATAAAACAACTAGTTTTTTTTTTTAAAAAAAAACACAAATTTTTATTTATTTCAGAGAGGAAGGGAGTGGGAGAGAGAGCTAGAAACACCAACGATGAGAGAGAATCTTGATCAGCTGCCTCCTGCACCCTCCACACTGGGGATAGAGCCCACAACCCGGGCACGTGCCCTGACCAGGAATCGAACTGTGACCTCCTGGTTCATAGGTCAACGCTCAACCACTGAGCTACGCCAGCTGGGCAAAGCATCAATAGTTTTTAAAGCTTTCGGAAAACAGCAACCAGGATCCTTGAGGCCTGGCTGTTTGACGGGCGGGGTTTCCTGCAGTTAATACTCATGCTTAGCAGAGTTTTAGATGAATAGATTAATGGTGCATTTAGATTTGGAAATATTTCCCCTGTGCATCATTAAGTTAAGGATTAAGGTGAAGCATATTTTGAGGCCCCTCTTGACAAGTCGCTTCTGTCTCGTGTTCATTGGAAACAGAGAAATTTTACTTCCACTCAGAAAAAGTTAACCTTTCTTAGGTGTTCTCTACAGAGCGCTTGAGCCATAACTATGTGGACTGGAATTGTCCAAAATTTCAGCTGCTTATCAGTATTCAGCATAACAAGTCAGACTTAGCAGTTTGTCTTGAGTGTGGTTTGGATTTTAAAATACTGGTGGATGAAATTTTAAGCTTCCTACTACAGTCATCCTGGTGGACTTGTTGGTTGGACAGTGCCTTCAGTCCTTGAAAGTAAGGAGGACTGTGGCACCGTGGCTTTCATTTTGTAGAAGGGAGTGTTCAGGTGGGTTAGGACTTGGCTGTGATCAAGGAGCAGTGGCAGGTGTGAACTCACTGAACTCAAACCACTAGATCAGAAATGCTCGGGTTGTAGGCGTTTGAGATTAAGTCATAACTTGTCACTTCTTAGATTGCACTTAACAATAGTGCACCAGCATTTTCCTGAATTTACAGTTGCTCAGGTCAAATTACACACCCTTTACTACCTCCTGTAGCTCCTGCTCAAAACCTGATGTGACGCGGTTGCCTAAAAAATGACCCATCCATGAGAGCATCATTGCGGTGGGATATGACTGTGTAAAGATGGAAAATGCAGAGCAGGGTTTTAGAGATGATGAGTGGGTGCCCCTCGCTGCCTGTCGGAGAGAATGCATCAAGACTTTGAGAAGTTTACTTGCAATTAAGTGCCCTCTGGGAAAAGAAGTAGTCCCCCATTCTCGGGTTGTCTGAGGATTGGGGGACCCAAAGACATTCTAGAGCAGTGGTTCTCAACCTTCTGGCCCTTTAAATACAGTTCCTCATCTTGTGACCCAACCATAAAATTATTTTCGTTGCTACTTCATCACTGTCATGTTGCTACTGTTATGAATCATAATGTAAATATCTGATATGCAGGATGGTCTCAGGTGACCCTTGTGAAAGGGTCGTTCGACCGCCAAAGGGGTTGCGACCCACAGGTTGAGAACCGCTGCTCTAGAGGATCCAGAGATGCTCTAGAAGCAGAACATCCAGATCTTGAGGAATCGCCGCATGGCTTTCTGCTCCTCCAGGTGAGAGGAAAGGCGTGTGTGTGCCTAGGCACAGCTGGGTGTGTCTCTGAGAAGCTAGGGTTGAACAGTTCCTGCAGGGTTCCGGAGGACGCCGCTCCATTAATGTAACACCAACAACAAATGCTTCTGGCTGTCGGCCCAAGGTATGCTTCCAGATCCTGGAATGTCGCCCTCGGGTAGCGCTGGGATCTAAGCAGTGCAACATCCCTTTCCTTCGAAAGAGAATCCTACCTGCCCAACCTGACAAATGAACTCGGGTCCAAATGCTAGAAACCTACCACAAGTCCTCTCAGCAATAATTGTTTTAAAAATGATCTTGGGGGTAGGTCAGTACTCAGTCCACAGTGATGTATCTACTTCAGTGGTTCTCAACCTGTGGGTCGCGACCCCTTTGGCGGTCAAAGGACCCTTTCACAGGGGTCGCCTAAGACCATCCTGCATATCAGATATTTACATTACGATTCATAACAGTAGCAACATTACAGTTCTGAAATAGCAACGAAAATACTTTTATGGTTGGGTCACAAGATGAGGAACTGTATTTAAAGGGCCAGAAGGTTGAGAACCACTGGTTTAGGAGAAGACTGAGTTCAGAACCTCACGTACACACACACACACACAAACTTTAATGCATATATATGAGTGCATGTATACCTTCTTTACCCAAGGATACATTTTTCATTGATTCTAGAGAGAGAGGAAGGGGGAAGGAGGGAGATAGAAATATCAATGATGAGAGAGAATCACTGATTGGTTGCCTCCTGCACGCCCCCTACTGGGTGGGGATCAAGCCCGCAACCCAGGCATGTGCCCTTAACTGGAATGGAACCTGGGACCCTTCAGTCCGCAGGCTGATGCTCTATTCATTGAGCCAAGCCAGCCAGGGCTCTTTTTAAAGTAATTTAGGGTTGGGGGTGGGAGGGATGAGTAAATGAGGACGATGAGTAAGTTCTGGAGGTCTAATGCCCAGCCATGTGACAGTAGTTAGCGATTCTGTGGAGTAGACCTGGAATTTGCTCAGAGGGCAGGTCTTAAAGAGTCCTCACCACAAAGAAGACGTGCTAAATATGTGAGGTGATGGGTATGTTAGTTAGCTTAATTGTGGTGATGATGTCACAACATATCAAAACAATGGCAAATACCTTAAATATATACAATTTCTATTTGTCAATTATAACTCAATAACGATGAAAAAAAAAAAAGAACAAAAGAAAAAGCCAGTCATTCCCGTGCTTTTCTGGCTTTGATTACCAAGGACAAAGAAATACAGCACTTTGGGTTGTTCTGTGCCCCAGAATGCTTTGTTTTAGAAGAACTCTAAAAGAGACTAACTATTAGGTTATTGGTGTGTCTCTAGCTCTCCTGTGCACACACTTGCTGAGGGGAAAATGCTCCCCTGAGGTATTCATAAATTGAATGGAAAAAACCCTGACACCAGTGTTTGAGACTGTAACCACTTCAGTAAATACTAGTGGCATTGAGATTGCAAAAGAAATTGACGTATGGTCTCCTCTCTCATTTATTATGCTGAGATTGAACAGTTACACTTGGGTATAATTTATTACACTTAAAAATACAAAAACAAAACAAAACACAAAAAACACACACAAATCCCAGTGGCATGCCCACACGAAGGCCCTCCTTAGTAAAGCAATCATAAAATGCGCATGCTCCTTCAGTTGTATCACCCGGGATGCCTCCTCTCTGTCACTGTATTTTGAGGATAATTGAAAGGCTTCAGTTAAAGAATTTCAGGCCATATCCAATGGATGCAAAAAGTATTTCTGCCTAAGACAGTGGTCGGCAAACTGCGGCTCGCGAGCCGCAGTTTGCCGACCACTGGCCTAAGAGATCGGGTGTGTTTATGTTGTTTCTTTTGCTTAATCCAGTGAAGAAAATAAGGTGCCCCTTCCAGGCAGCCTGGATTGTTTTCAGTTGATTGAAATTGAATTTAAATGGACCACAGGCAAATGCTTCTGAAGACTGAAGACTTAGTGACCCTTAAATCTCTGATCAGAGAGGCGCAGGGACAGAGAGTGGCTATGCACACCCACAGAGGGGGTTCCGGGGTTATAGCTGCCCAGTCTCTCCGTGGGGACGCCTGATTGCGTTCCCAGACACCCTTTGTGTGTGCAGCTCCGGAAGTTGAAATCGCAGCACCAGATACGGCCTTATAGTTATTAATAGGAAGTGACTGCTGATAATGGTATCAGTTTTAGGTAAAAGAGATAGTGCCACATTTTTCCTCCCTCCAGAGAGTTAACATTTCGAGGAGTGCTTTGTAGCTTAGAAACTCTGACTTTTGAGTGGGGCATTCATGTTTTTGCCTCTCCCCATTTTTTTCATTTTTCCCCTCTCTGTCCAAACTGAACCCACCGCCTATAAGGTTTTCTTTCAATTTGTTTGTCCCCCTTTCAGGGTAAATGTGGGCCAGAGAGAGACATTGCCAGTGGGATTGGCTTTAAAGAGAAGACTGGACGTGGGGATGGACACCACAAGAATAAAGGGGCGACGAGGGTGAGGCCTGGCTGGCAGGATGAGGGGGCGGAAGGGGGAAGGTGGCAGAGGGCCCGGCACATGGTGGGCCCTCGGCAAAGGCATGGATGGTTCTTTCATTTACTTAACGGAGATCTGTTTCGCTTTTACCATGTGCCACATTCTATGAATAGAGGAGAAACGCAGCCAGCTGTGGGGAGGACAGGGTCTGTTTTTACTCACTTAACTCATGCACAGCAAGTGACTTGTTCTCTCCTTAGCAAGAAATAGAAAAATCGATATTCCATTGCTTTTCCATTGGCATTCGGCCCACGCTGCTTTGGGAAAAGGAAACCCAAACCTAGACGGGTTCCTTCTTTGTATGCAGGGGGGCCAGAGGTATGGGTATCCCCGGTGCTCAGCGATGCTGCAGCTGATGGCAGCGGCCGGGAGGGTGCGGTGTGGCCGGGTTCCAGGTGACCGAGGGGACGTACAGGCTGTCGCCTGGCCCTTTTGGCTCAGGGTTGTGCTAGCTGAGCTCGGGAGGCAGGCCCAGAGCGA